AGGTATGCCTGTCTTGATTTATGGTTCTGTGATCTGTGCATTTTAGGGTGGGTATGTGACAACATTCATACATACATACATACATGATAACATCTATTGTCTATAAATACTTAGAAATCTCACACCAGAATTATGAAATTCATTATACAGTGCCTGGCACACCACTAAGCTTAAATGGTCACTCAGTGGACTGTACAATAATGGCCATGCCATGCTTCTGGATGCAGGATGCTGGGAGAAGACACTGAAGTGATGTGAGTCTGAGAACTTTTTGTCTTATAGAAAAAAATAACAGAAAATAGGCATCTTTTACTGTATCAAGAGGAAGAATAATTTAATCACAAGGAAAGGTTAAAGCTTTGATGAAAGCAAGCACAATGGAGTTTAAAAAGTTAACCTGGGGCATTCTGATTTCAAGATTGTTCTTTTTTAAGCACCAAAGGAAGCAAGAAAAGCTTCATCTTTGTCTGCTGCACCCCTTTTAATAAAAGGATTTGTTCTATAGAATTTGGATTCAGTCAAAAGGCCACACACTTAACGACCTAGAAGGCCACAGGTTCCCCACCCTTGGAAGGGTGATAGAAGAGGAAGGAAGGCAGAAGTGGACCATGTAGAATAAATAATTGAAGCCTAGCCTTTTAAAACTTTGAGGTCTTACCAAAGAGAAAAGAAGAAAAAGAGAGGATTTCAACATGAGAGTGTTAAAGGTGGAAAAGAGCCAGAAAGCACTGTGGGCTTAAAAAAAATAGTGAAAAAGTAGTGGTGTATGTTGGCAAAGTGAAGTGTAGAGTTGAAAGGAGGGAGAGAATTTATAGTAGAGGAAGTCAGTGTGAAGTTTTCCTCTAAAGATGCCCAGCAGAGCAAAGAAGGAATGAAGGTAAAGGCCACTGGGAATACGGCGGGCTGAGACTTAAACAGCATGGGAGAAGGCAATGGTGCCCAAAATAAGAAATTATTTTCTTTTTAAAAATTAACTGACCCATATTCTTATTTGGGTCCAAAAGCAACTGCAGAGTTTAAGGGTCTTTAAAATAAATTATAGACATCCCAATCCTTGCAAGTGGCTTTGGCCCAAGATAACACAAATTATGAATTAGTCAGTTTCTGAGACAAGTACCAAATATCATTTTAGCATTGATTTTAGAAGAGAAATCATATTAATAAATTGCTATATTATAAAAATACTCCCCTGAATTAAACAACTTTAGCTTTCTCTATCACCCTTGGGGGGGGAGGGGGGAGGGTAAACACGGAAACTTAATTACATATAGAAGATATTTAGTAACCTAAATGGTGAAATTGTGAGTTACTTGTCTTGGTATACTATAGCCCAAGGCCCCCCACCCCAAGAAATATTTTACTTGGTTCAGGATACATAAGACAAGTTAAAGAGCTTCAGAGAAAAAAATTAAGGTTAAAAATAAGACAATAAGATGAGGGACAGGAAAAGCAGAAGTGCTATGCTACTGATATTGAAGAACTGAGGCATTTATAATCCAGAATTCAATCAAGTAAGTGAGGGAAAAATGGCACAAAAGCAAGTCAAAGAATAAGACTCAACACCATATAACTAATCTTGATAGCCTCACTTTGGGTTTTAAACTAAATACTAAATTAGATTTTTTCAACCTATTTTTATTTAAAATTTTTTTATTTTAAAAAATTCAACAAAATTATATCACTTGATAGATGCAGTTATGCAACTTTAAATGACTATAAAAATTAGCAGATCAGTGCCTGATTTTTTTGGCAAAGACTGAATGTAGACAGTAATGTTAGATACAGATAACCTTGTTTTTAAGGGGCTGACTACTTTTCCTGCCCCGAGACCAACGATGGCTCCATTCTACCAGCTCTCATTACTCCCTAAAACCTACCTTTCACTGTCCACACAGGCCTCTGGACAGACCTTATGTCTGGGGTTTGGCCATGTCTACCTTCCCACCCGATGTGGATCTTTCTCCTTCCCTCTAAAGTCTCTTAGTTCTCCAAAGTCTACACGTTTCCTTCCTCAGTTGCTGCACTCAACAGACCTCCCTTCTTTCTGGGCCTCACCACCTCGCCCACTCCTGGTTTTCTGCCCCAGGCCCTTTCCATCTCTACCCGAGCTCTCTAGGGCCTTCGCCCTGCCCCACGAAGCTCTCTCAGGAACTCTCTCCCCACCTGCCTCCACTTAGTCACAAACTATGTATTCAGCGTCTGTTTTGCGCTTCGTGCCATAACGACACCAGCTCGGAAGCCCGATCAGAGACCCCTCTCCCCAGAAGCTCTCCCGGAGCTCTGGTTCCCCAAATGTCCCTGCGCCTCGATCCTCAAAGGCCGCTCTTCTCTCCCTCCTGGCCGCAGCAGCAGGCGGGCGAGTGGGGATCGGCAGTGAGGGTGACTCACCGGAGGGCCGGCCAGCCGGGGGGCCGGAATGCCCTCACTTCCTCACGGAGCGCACCTGCCCGCGCTGCTGGAGCGTCGCCCAGCTGGGCCTCCGGCGGATGTTTTCCTTGTTCCCGCGCAGGCGGTGCGCGCCAGCCGTCCCCTCCCGGCCCCACGCGCCATCCGTCGCCCCAAACAGCCGCCCCCCCAGAACTGAGGAGCGGGTTGGCCCCTCACCCCTGACCCCCTCCCCAGCAGGCATGTGGTTTCGACCGACACCTCCAACCTCCGTGCAGCCCTCCAATTCTGGAAGATGCATCCTGGCTCAGCCCAGACCCTTTCTCCAAAAGCCCCCTACCCCCGTCCCCATTTGCGTACCTCATCTTCATGACAGCGGCTAACCCCTTCTGTCCCCACTACCTCACAGTTGCAGGAGCAGAAGGGAGTCCATGGTCTAGCCTTCCAGGGTGACCGAAGGACCCCTTCCCAAAAAGGCAGCAACAGGGATGCTGACGCTGACAAGACCTCTGGGCCCTGCTGCTAGGCAAGCCTTGTAATCCACCTGCTCCGCTGAGAGGAGTCCAAGGCCATGCCTCCCACACACCAGCCTATTTTTAGGGTGCCCTGCTCCAATTGTGAGCTTTCCTGGGTTTTTTGCCCCCTTGACACTCCTCTGAAATGGAAAAGGTATCAGACCTGACTAGGGCAAATGTGTGCTACATCCCGCAGCTCCATTCACCTAAGCTGTCTTCTTGGAAGAAGTCAGCTAGGGAGTCTGAGGTGCACTCACTGTCATTTCTGAATGGTGAAGAGGTGACAGGCATGGTGGCCCTCTGAAAAAGTCTGCCTCTAGTTATATCTGAAGCACTAGGTGACATGGAGCAAGTCTTGTTGTAAATGGGACCAGAAACTTGGAAAAAGAGAATAAAGCCAAAGTGCTTGGCCCTGTGTGTAAGAGGGGGAATAGCTGGAACATGGGTCTTCTAAGTGTGGAAAAGTGAAAGAAATCCAGTCTGCTCTGAGTCTTTAGTGCCAGAGATGGCTAGCATTAATTAGCAAGGTCAGAAAGGAGAACTTGAGATTTCACATGAGCAGCGTTGGGCAGAAATGGACCAGAATCCTAGTAAGAAAAAGCAGCAGACCTGAAGTTAGCTGGAAGGATGCTGGGAAAATGATAGCTCTTCCCAGGGTAAAGATGAGGGTACTGATCTGGGGAGTGCAGGCTTATCAGCAACAGTTGCTCAAACCAGACATTCAGAATTCAACACAAAACTCAAACCAAAATGCTGGAGGTGTTTGTTGTTGAAGGAGGTGGTAGGGATGACAGGGAGCATGAGTGTGAAAGGGGCGGGACTCTATGCCAGTAGAGAACAGTCCCCAACAGAAGCCCTCAGCTGTGCACACAGAGCTGCTCGATGTCATTCAAAGAAAAGAATGTCACTCATTTTCCCTCTGAGCTTTAGCACCAATCACAGTAGCTAATATTATCTGAGGGCTATGTGCCAGAGATGGTACTAAGAGCATCACATGCCTTATCTCATTTAATCCTCATAACAACCCTATGAGTTGGCATCACTATCTCCAAATTATAGATGAGGAAACAAGCTTAGAGAGAGGTGAAGTAATTTGCCGAATGTCACACAGCTAGTAAGTGGAATCAGGATCTGAATCCATGTAATTGGTCTCTACAGCCTATGCTCTTCATCACCCATGTTGGGGTGCTCCAGAACCTGTAGGAAACTCAAAGGAGGATGCCAAAGGATAAGTTCCTAAAACCTCATCCTATTACACATGGGAGGAAAGAGGGGGCACCTCTGGGAAACTAGAGTGATTCATCCCAGTAGGGCATTTAGGAGATGCTCCTCTTTGAAAGGGGGAATCATCTCTGGGTATGGGGCAGTCCTGCATCTGCTGTATGTTTGAGGGTGATTAACACTGGACAGTTCATCTCTGGGATACCTGAAGAGAAGAGAAAAAGAGAACCCCCACCCTGTAATCTCTGAGGGGCAGCCCTATTTCTAAGATCCATCAGGGAAACCCTGCCCCAGGGTCTGAGAGAAACACTCTCCTCTCCACCCCAGGTGCCTGCTCGCTCTCCTGGAGCCTCTGGCCGTTGCACCCTACTGCAGATTCTGGGTTTGGCTGTGGCACAGGATTAGCCATCCCCAGGAAATGCCTCCCTCCGGTCCAGGCAGGGATCCCAGCACACACACCCCTGGTGGTGGCAGTGGGGGGAGAGAGGGGAAGGTGGAATGTTTCCTTCTCTCCAGGTCAGAGAAGAGATCTGGGGACCACCTGGGGGCCCTCACCCCTCCCACCTCCGTGCTGGGGAAGTGCCCAGTCCAGTGCCCCTTCCACCGGCACGTCCCTCCCTCTAGCTGTGCCGGGGCATGAATCAGCTCTCACAGCTTGTTAAAGCTAGACCTCTTGTTTTCATGCCCTCACCTCAGGAAACAGAGTTGCAGCTTTTCCAGCTCTACTCAGCAGGGGGCCAGGGTCCTCACTTTATAAACATCCCCGGCCTGTGAGAGCAGAGGGCACAGAGATAGTGTGAGACAGGAGCCCAGGGGAGAAAGAGAGAAACTAGGACTCAAGCAGCAAACCGAAGTAAAGCCAAGGAGACAAGACCAAAGTAGTCTGAACAGAAGCCAAGAAGGGTTCGAGAGGGCTGTGCAGCAGAAATGGCCCTACCGATACTCTGGGCTGGACAGGCCAAGGGGATCCTAGGTGGCTGGGGAATCATCTGCTTGGTGATGTCTCTACTCCTCCAGCACCCAGGAGTCCACAGCAAGTGCTACTTCCAAGCTCAAGGTAAAGTGGGGTGAGACGTTAGGAAGGGATGAGGAAGGGGGTGTGCTTAGAGATGATCCTGTGTCAGAATACCCAGATTCCCTCCAGCTGTGAAACAGGAAAGACTAAATATCGGGGTAGTGTGCACTTACACCCTCCCAGCCCAGACGAGATTCTGCCTGCCACCACCACTCCCATACCTACTAACATTTCCTATTCTTCCCTAGCCCCCTGTCACTATGAGGGGAAATACTTTACCCTGGGTGAGTCTTGGCTCCGCAAGGACTGTTTCCATTGCACCTGTCTGCATCCTGTTGGTGTGGGCTGCTGTGACACGTGAGTGACCAAGGATGGACAGAGGGAATGACTCAGGTGTGAATGACTGAGGGATGACCAGGGAGTAACTAGATTGCTATGATGTGAATGAACAGAGGAGCAGTATGAGACTGGCCAGGCTGAAGGTACCAACAAGAGTGTGAAAAATAAGGCTTCATGCTACAAAGCAAGGGAGGTTGGGGGGATCTGGAGGGAAAATACTCCTGTTATGAAGCAAAAAGTCCTATATGGTAGGTTAGAGCTTAGTTAGGGGGACCAAGGAGACACTAAAGGAGGATATGAGGAGGCTGTGAGAGAGGAAATGTGGGGCAGGGATGAAGATGGCCTTTCACTGTGCTGACTTCTTCCCCATCCTTGGTTCGTTCCCCAGGTCCCAGCATCCCATTGACTTCCCTGCTGGGTGTGAGGTACGTCAGGAGGCAGGAACCTGCCAGTTCTCCCTGGTGCAAAAATCTGACCCTCGGCTGCCCTGCAAAGGGGGAGGGCCTGACCCGGAGTGGGGCTCAGCCAACACCCCTGTTCCTGGGGCTCCTGCTCCCCACTCCAGCTAAACTCAACTGATCACCCGTCTGCTGACTGCTCACTGCTGCTGCCACTTCCAGGGAAACCACTAGCGGCTGCCAATTTATTCTGAATAAATAAATTAATGCTACAGCTGAAACCCTGCCTCTCATTATACATGCCATTGGGCCCAAAGTAGAAAAAGTACTACTAGGGTTCAGGTGCTGAGTTCTCAGTATAGTGAAAAAACTAGTGCCAGGGTGGGCAAGCAGGCCAGTTTCAGATGGTGATGGTGCTGGTGCTGGGGCCTGGGGCAGCATAGGAGGCCAGGGTGGGGCTTGTAGGCAGGACCTTGATGGGGAGGTCCCAGCTGAAGGTATCTACAGGCACTTGCTCAGGACCTGTCCAGGTGGTAGGTTCGGGCTGTTCCACAGGGGGTAGGAGTACCAATCCTGGTTCTCGGGATGTTACAAATTCAAAATGCAATCGCCACTTCAGGGACACTGTGGAAGAAAAAGATAAAAAGTAGAAGAATTAGAAGCCCACCGTAGTAAGAGCCAATGACAAGATAGGGTTAGTCAATGAGAAAAAAATTTCAAGGGTTTTTCTGAAGAAATTGGTTACATTAACAAAGATATAAGTTAAGGATAGCAGTGTTAGTACCTAATAACCCAAGAGTGGGACAGTCAAGACTAGGTAGCTTGAAATAAATGTGCTACGGAGTCAGAGATCAGTGCATCACACGGTCCCAGCAGGTAGCAGTGGGGAAGTTCTGCAAAGTTGTTAGGGTTTAGGGATGAGTGCATCTAAGAAATAGGAGTAGAAGTTCAAAGTCTAAGAAAGTTTTAAGGTCAGAGGCTAGATGTGGGTACGTCTGAGAGTGAGTTAGGAACCAGGATCCATTACACTCTACGCAAGCGCAGCATTTTACCACCCCCCTCTTCCTTCTCCAATAACCATCAGGGCCTCACCAATGGCTGTGCAAAAGCCTGGGGTGGAGCTGAGAGGGATAGGGAGGGAGAAGCTGGTTCTGGTTGTATGTAGGCAGGACTCCTGGTGCCGGGCATGAGTCACATGGGACACAGAGGGGACACCCCCTGTCCCACGGCGCCGCTGGTACTCAGGCTGTACACGCTCCTCAGTCTGTAAGCTTACTGAAAACTGGGAAAAAGAAGAGAGGCGCATGCTAACAGGCATTCGGAAGTGCTGAGTATAGATGAGAGGGTACCCCAACCTCAAGCTGTTTTACCAAGGAGGAAGGCTGTGATCCCTCTAACCAAGTCTCTATACCACCCTCCTTGACACAGGCCCTTCTGCTTCCAACCTAGCCCTTCAGGCCCAACACCCCAGAAGCTCTGCTCCCTTCTCACCTGCAAACAAGCTACGGTTCCTTCCCCTAAGTTTAAGGTCCCCACCACGTCCTCGCCGAGTCTGTACACAGATTTGAAGATGCCAAATGTCCCAACTTTCCCTTGGCCATCACTGATATTATATAGATCTGGGGAGAATGGAACACCATAAACCTGGAGTCTATATCAGGGAATGTCTAGGACTGGGCACCAGAGGCTACAAGATGGGGCTTTTCTTTATAATCAGGGGTGAGATATCAGGGGATTGCCAGAAGTATGTGGTGGTTAGGAGACTGTCTCTGAGACAGGAATATTCTGAGGGGAGGACCGAGGGGGACAACTCTGAAAGGGTTCTCACGTAGGCTGCGGCAGGATGTGGCAGCCATGAGGCGCTCCCCAGCTAGCTCAGCTAGCCATGAATCCTTCTTCCCACCTTCGTCCTCCTCCAAGAATGGACTGGATGGGGCTACAGCCTCATCCTGGGGAAAGCGGACATCCTGAAGGCCTAGAGAGAGAATGAGTGGAGAGGTAATGCTGGGAGGAAATAGAGATGAGAGCAGAGGTTAGAGGTTTGGATTTCAGCCTCAGAGGGCTAAAGGTAAAGAGAGCCATGGCTGAGGTATACATTTCAACTTATTCTCCAGAATCCTCCCTCTTCTCCCAACTTCCTAGCACCTTCACTGAGACCAGGAAGCTTCCCTGCAGCCCCTCTTGTGAGCCCTCTAAGACTATTTCTGCTTTGGCAAGGCTCTTTCCCAGCCCTTCCCTCCAGGACCCCTTACTTACCAGTCAGCACAAGAACCCTCAAAGGAACCCTGAGTAAAGTGATGGGTGAGTTGACACGCTGGCAGCCAATGGTCAATTTGTAGACATACTTGACTGACTGACCCCGAAAGGAGGGTGGTCCCTCTATGGGCAGCACTTCACTGTAGGAGTCTGGTTGGGAAGTAGTAGTCAGGACAGGCAGAGGCAGCCAGAAGAGTCCTCCCTCTGGGAGACTTAGAAGGCAATTCAGGGATGGGGACAGTCACTCACATGATTTGGACTCTCCAGGGTCTAGCCTCAGGTCACAGAATAGAATTTTTGGTGGAGTAGAAAGGATACACTGACCCCTCTCACCTAAAATAGGCAAGAAAGACTGCAATTTAATGGCCTGTTGTCTAGCAGTGAACAGGGCTAGCACAGCCAGTGGGGGCAGTGAAAAAGCTGTCACCCCTCCTTTTCCTGTTGTAAAATGGGAACATTGCCTTATACCACCAAAGCAATAGGCACCTTCTCCCACATCCCCAATGTGACGGGGACTATAATGACACACAAGAACAATTTAAAAATTTCACCTGTGGGTGACAATGACTCCACCCTCCTCCCAAAGCAAATGCCCCCCCTAACCTCGGTGTGGCAGAAAGACAGTCTGGCTGTCAGGCTGGACATCTGGCTGACTAGAGTCAGGGGGAGGCAGTGCCACCCGACTCTCGCTGGCATGAAACTGGCAGTGGATCTGGGCACTGGCCCAGGCCAGAGCCTCACTGTAGGAAGAGGAAAAGGAGGCATCAGATGGTAGTTCCTGACCTCACAAATGCTTTCTCCCTACCTCACTGTCTGATGAGAGCTACAAGATTAGGTGGTTGTCCTAGTGATCAGGAAATCCAGAACCCCAAAGAGAAATCATTAAGCAGAGAAGTATACTGTGGGTAAAAGGGGAATGGGGGTGGGGGGAGGAGAGTGGACAGCTATGTCATCCACACCTTCTGAGAAGGTGGTGGTGTAGTTACAGAACCACCTGGGTTGTGTCTTAGTACCAGGGATACCAGGCTTCCTCCCAGAAGGGCCACCTCCTTCAATACCAGCATCCCCACCTGGATGCAGAAGTGGCCGTAGGGGGCAGGGGGTTGGTGACGGTCACCACACACTCCAGCGCCTCCCCCGCCAGAAATACAGGACCCCGGCTCAGCTCTGCTACCACTTCAATCATGGCAGCTCCAGAATCAGATCTATAAAGAAACAATTGAGCACCATAGTTTGTCAGAAAAAAGAAAAAAATTAAAAAAAAAAAAAAAAAAGAAACAAGAGGGGTCGGAGGTCAGCACCACGGCAGTGATTGGTGTCTGAGGCTAGCATCTAGGGGTGAGGACAGACAAGAGGGGCGGTCAGCACCATGGTGCCAGAGGGAAGCGGCTTGATACAGGGAGGGCAGATGGGTGGGAGGACCCCGGCACTGCTGATTCAGCACCGCGTAAGCAGAGGCCATCGCTCTGGACCCCAGCCCGGGTTATTCTCCCTGTCCTCCGGAGATCCCAGGCTGGCCTCTGCCCCCCTCCCTTCCCCCAAGGTTCCATGTCCCACCCCAAGACCACGGTCACCCGTCACCTTGCATAGTCGAAACCCGGGTATCGGCACACCGAGGCCCTCACCTGCCGGCCCCTCCAGGACCAGGCCAGGTGCTAGGCGGCGTTCGCAGAGTCGGCGGCGCGGCGAAGGCGGGACTTCCCTTCAGTCCCCCCACCCCTCTACAGAGTCCCTTCCGGCAGGAAGCGCCCGACTGGCCGAACCGGAAGGGGCTCGGGTCATCCCGGCGTCTTAGGTCACCTTCCCACGGGCTGGCACCTGGGCGCGGGCACTGCCCTGTACACCAGCCGGCGGGACCCGGCGCCCAACCCTGGGGTAGCCTCCTGGTGCCGCAGCCCGGGGACCCGGCCAAGGCTGCCGCGAGGTCCCCCGGGCGGTGCCTTGCAGGCAGGTCCCGGGGGCGGTGCTGCCTTGTGGGCTGGCCCTGAGGCTCCTCCCCTCTCTGCCGGTCCAGTAGGGCTTTGGCCAGGTGAGCTAATCACCGCGGCCCAATGACGTCGAGGCCTGACCCTTCCCGCCCAGGACCTACAGACACAACCGAAGGGGAGCCCAAGGCGGCTACATTGCTCTCGCCGCCGCCTCTGAAGCCGGAGCTCCTTGGCTCCACAAGGACACCAGCTCGCCTCAGCTTTCCCCAACGCCTGGCCCCCGGAACGGCACCTAACGACAACTGCCGCCCACATCTGGATTAAGGCTGGCAAGATACTAAGTATCCGACGGCTCGACCACCGGGACGATCAAGGTCGTAGGGACCCAGGACCCAAGGAACATGGGAACCGGCGTCCCAGCCTCGGAGCAGATCAGCTGTGCCAAAGGGCGTCCAAAGGTTTATTGCCCTGAAGATACTGGAGGCACTGAGGCTGTGCATATTACAGACTGCGAGAGCCCCGTGGACAACCAACGTAAAAATGAGCCGGGGTACTACAATCCGGAGGATTCTGGGCATTTGATGGCCTCTTATGAGGGTAAAGCTAAGGGTTACCAGGTGCCTCCATTTGGCTGGCGCATCTGCCTAGCTCATGAGTTTACAGAGAAGAGGAAACCCTTTCAAGCTAACAACATCTCCCTAAGCAACATGATAAAGCACATAGGCATGGGTTTGAGGTGAGTAGATCCATCCCATTGCCAATAATGGCTTCACTTTGGCTTCACTTTGTTCCAGCTCAAGACTTCCAGCAGAAGTGGGAAAGGGTGAGAAAGCAGGTGGGCTCCTTGTCCCATTCAAGGGGACCCTATCCCCAGCATATTTTAGGTCCGTGGCTTTGGAGGGTAAGACCAGGTCATATCTCTTTGCAACCCTTTTCCTCCCAGTATCTTGTCTTTTCAGCAGGAAGATAGGCACGTTTGGTACTGCACTCAGCATTTCCCATTTAGGTTCCTTCTCACATACTCTTTTCCAAAGACTTTCCTTTGGGATTAGCTGTACATTGTGGCAAGGTAGGAAAGGATAGTCTGGCTGCTGTGGCATAACATTGTGGCACAGACACAATGTTGTTTTATTTGGGAGGGGGAGGTTCTTAACCCCAGGTTTCCCTGAGCATCTGAGGCATTCTCTGTACCTCATTTAGACACGCTACGTTACAGTCCCAACACCCATCTGTTTCTTTCCTCAAGCTTTTAGCTCCAAGGAGTAGATGACAGCCTGCTTTCCCTCAACCCCAAGGAGAGGGAGCAGTTCACTCTGTTCTGGGATAGAAAGCTCCTAATATAAAAAGCAAAATATAAGCTCTGATCAGAGAGGCTCTGACCAGAGAGGCACTGCCACAGATGTCCCCAGGGCTCTTGGTAATAGCTTTCCAGAGCCTGCCCTACTCTCTCCCCAACCCCAAAGTTTACAGACACCCCTTGAGCTTATCCTGGGCTTTCTAGATCTCCACTGAATTCAATGACTACTGATGAGGAACCAGACCTCATCAGGAAGTCTGACCTTAACAAGAACAGGTGGATATAAGGACATAAAGCATCATCCTGAGGTCATCTTGAGTCAGCCCACACAGTAAACATAGAGCTAGGGAGGGAGGTATAAAGGTTGGGAAACTCAGCCAGGACAGCTTCTAAAGTAGGGAACCCTTCACTTCCCTAGTCAGTGCTGTGGGAGCTATGGTGGGAAGGTCATTTACTAACCCAGCCCTGGGCGGTGGTAAGGGCCTGGTGCTGCCTGCACATCTGGCTCCTTTGCTAGTGCCTGTGGGTGGCCTGTATCAGAGAAGAATCATCACTCCAGGCTGCTTCTGAAATCAGCCCAGTCCAACTTTGACCACAAAAGCCTCTGGGTCAAAATTGGATCTAGAATACTGACAGAAGCACAGTGGGTTGCATGTGGTGGGGTCAATAAAGTCAAGAACAGGTGGGCATCCTAGCCTCATATCCCCTAAATATGAACTGAGTCATAGAGACCTACCTGAAGGTATGCTCAGCCCCCTAGACCTGGGCTCCCTATACCAGGATAGGGTGAGGGTGATTGACACAAGGGCTTTTTGGCATGGGTGAGGTCCTGCACTGAGGAGGAAGCAGGGGTGAGACAAGGAAGAATTCTGAAAATTTGTGAGTTTGGGTTGAAATTATAGAGAAGGTCAAATAAGTCAGGAATGGCCAGCTGCTAAATTAAGGGAGTGAGAGAGCTCCAGCAAGACAGAGTTCGCTGGGCCTCAGCTTGGTAAGAACTTAATTTTGATTGCTTTCTCTCCCAGCCAGAGTCCTTTCATTCAATAAGTATTTAGTGAGTGCTTGCTCCATGTCAGATAATCTTTTGTTCTGCCTGTCTTCATATCTTACATTTCCTCCTTGGTGCCCTAATCCTGGCTGCTCCCTCCCTCCCTCCCTCCACCAAAAACAATTCTTATTCTATCCTCTAGTTTCAAAGTCCAGTTTTCTTTAAACTGGCAGAGGATTCTCTGCCTTCCCATCATCCTTTGTCTTCCCTCCCTCTCCTCCTACTCCCAGAATGTAATGTCCCTATTCTTTAATCACATTCCTCCTCCCTTGCTTCAGTCTGTCTTCTATCTCTCTTATACCCTATTGTTTGTCCATTCATTCATATGTAAATACAGCAAATATTTATTAACTTCACACTATGTGCTGTGCCCTGTGCTTGGAGCTAAGGGTAATATTCTTTTTTTTTTCTGAGACAGAGTCTCACTCTGTTGTCCTGGCTAGAGTGCTATGGCATCAGCCTAGCTCACAGCAACCTCAAACTCCTGGGCTCAAGCAACCCTTCTATCTTAGCCTCCTGAGTAGTTGGGACTACAGGCATGCACCACCATGCCTGGCTAATTTTTTCTATATATTTTTAGTTGGTCAATTAATTTCTTTCTATTTTTAGTAGAGACGGGGTCTCGCTCTTGCTCAGGCTGGTTTTGAACTCCTGACCTCGAGTGATCCTCCCTCCTAGGCCTCCCAGAGGAGGCCTCGGCCTCCCAGAGTGCTAGGATTACAGGTATGAGCCACCATGCCCGGCCTAAGGGTAATATTCAATTAATCTTTGTCACTGTCCCTTTCCCCAAGAAACTTAAAAATATGTCAGCCTCACATGAGGAACATTGAAATAACAAGGCAGTGTCTGATTAGGAATTGAGACAGTGTATGTACAAGTACTAATCATATCTAACACACATATTCCATTTTATGGCTTTATCTGTTATGTCATCTGATCTTTCAACCATTCCATGAGATAGCTATGACAGGAGGTACCCCCATTTTGTAGATGAGGAAACTGAGGCTAGAGGGCTTACTTACCCAATTACCAGGTGAGAAGCGCTATGATTGAACAATGAGTTTAAAGCAGTTGAGTAGGGAGGATAGTAGAAGGGGAAAGAGTCTGGCAGGGAAGGGGTTACTTAGTGAGGACTCATGATGAATGAGAATTTATAGGGAAATAAGATAGGCAGGGACACATGTCACAACCTTGAAAACAGAATTATTTGCCTGTTGGATGCAGGACTGTGGCAAGACCATGAAAATGCTGGGATTTTTAGAAGTCTTTACTGGGATATTATGAGAGAGCAAAGTCAGAAAGCTTACAGTTTAAATGCTGAACCAAAGAGAGAGAGAGAGAGGGGGGAAAAAGACTTAAGAGGAAATGCCCTGAAATGTAAACACAGGTTTACATGGGTTAGATGATTATTTTTTTCCCCCTTCTACCTGGTATATTCTCCAGATTTTCACCTTTCGTAATCAGGAAGAAAAAAATAATCATTTTAAAAAGAAGAAAGTTATCCCCAGCAGTCTGTGCCCATTTGGAGAGTAGGAGGTGAAAGTGGAGGATGTAGACCCGGAAACCATAAATGACCCTTTGAACGCTTCAGACAAAAGCTCCTGAGGTTTGAACTAAGCAGTGATAGTGAAGTTAGAGAGGTAACGAATGATCAGAAAGCCCCTTCTAAGGAAAAAAGAAGAGAAACAAAGACAGGTCCTACCCTCAAGCTGGAGCAACTAGGAAGATGTTAAGAACTTGAACTATAGAGAAATCAAGAGGAGAGGTTTGGAAGCAAAGGTGATGGGTCCTTGAAACACTTAATGGTAGGTCACAGCTGGGTATCCAGAGAGAGGCAGGTGACTGCAGCTTGTGAAGAACTGCCCAGCTGCCCCCTTCCATTCATACTGCCTCTTGCTCCTCAGGTACTTGCAGTGGTGGTACCGGAAGACCCAGGTGGAAAAGAAGACCCCCTTCATTGACATGATCAACTGTGTACCCCTGAGACAGATCTATGGTGAGGCTCACCCCAGCTCTTCCCTGCTCAGGAAGGGCCTCACCTCCAAGTCTACTGCAGAGTTAGGCAGAGGCTTCCAGCTTATGCAAACTGTACTGCTCTATCCCCTAGGTTTTTAAAGGAAGCAATCTTTATAGTGTAGAAAGAGAGAATTGGGCTTGGTTTCCTCTCCCTATACCCCACTAACCATCCTGATTCTCTCTCTAGGTTGTCCCTTGGGTGGCATTGGGGGAGGCACTATCACCCGTGGCTGGAGAGGCCAGTTCTGTCGTTGGCAGCTTAACCCTGGAATGTATCAGCACCGGACAGTCATCGCTGACCAAGTAAGAGCCAGGAGATTGAGAGTCCCAGGACAATACCCTCCTCCACCCCAGGCCAAGAAGGGCCCCTTGGCTAGTGTAGGATGTGGCAGTTAGATGTATATTTGATTCAATCCAATAAGGACTCTCAGGATGCATTCTGTGTGCCCAGCCTTGTGCTAGGATATACCACAGG